AGGTGACAGCCCAGCCAGGCTGAACGCAGCTGGTTTAACCTGCCTGGCCCCAGTGCCCTGCTGCAAGCAAGCCCGGGTATGTCTGGGCCAGCGGCAGGCCATCCCGCTGGCAGCAAGAGCTGCGCCCAGAGGCGGGCCCGGGGTCTCGGCCCCCGTGGCAGGAAGCAGCCGGGCGCAGGAAGCGAGTAACCTCCTGCCGCGGGAGCCTCTCTGGGCAAGGGCTGTGCCCACGTCTTCTCGGTACCCGGCAGGATCTGCGGCCCTGCAGCAGCCTGGGTCTCTTCCCTGCCCTGCGCAGGCCTGTGCAGCATCTGCTTCTCCGTCCTCGCTGCAGCAGAAGGCTCTTACAATGACTTTTCAAGATGGCCCGTTTCTAATAGGCTTAGACTGGGGAGGCCTGTTCTCCTGCCTGTGTGCGCGCACGCGTGCATGCGAGCACACACGCATGCGAGATAGGAAGGAGAGTAAGGCAGGCACTGCTCCCACAATGCACTGCGTTATCCTCGTCCGTGCCGGCAGGCAGGCGACCGAGGCGTCCCCGGCTAACCTGAGTTTCCTGCTGCTGAGCAGCGCGGGGAGGAAGGAGGGGGTTGCAGCAGATGTGGCGAAGCACCAGACAGGGGCATGTGGGACCCTGAGTCGAGGGACCTTTGAGCGCTGTCCCCAGAAAGGACCGTGCTGCCGGGATCCCGGTGCTGGCCCGTGCCCCTGGGATGCCGAGGCTGTTTTGCTGGGTCGTGTGCTGCAGGCTTGCCCGCGGGCCGTGGGGAGCAGGCACTTGGCAGCGAAGGCAGGGCCTGGCGTGGGAGCACCGGAGAAGGGCTGGGGGCTGGAAGAGTGGGGCAGGCTCAAAGGAGGACAGCGTCCCTGAGAGAAATGACAGCGAGGGCTGGGAAGCCTCTGGCGTTGGGGCACGGGTCCCTTCTGCCTGCCAGGGACTGGCACCAGCAGGGTGGGTGGGTTATGCCGTAGCTGCCCATCGCTTCTCACATCCTCTGAGATGAGGCTCCCAGCTAGAAGGCCCCTGGCCTGATCACCCTCTACCTACGTGGAGGGGGCCTGCTCCCTGCCTGCCATGCAGCTTGCCCAAGCTGTCGGGGCGATGGGGCCCAGCCCCGTGAGGCTCTGCCAAGCCCTGCTCATCTGTCCACTCGCTGGAGCGGCTGCACTGGCCGGTCCTCTGAGACCCCGGCCTCCCGGGACCTGGCTCAGGTCCTGGGCCCAGTGGCCCCACACCCAGGTTTAGCTCCATGTCCAGGCTGCACAGAGCCCTGTGGGTGCTGCCTGCCTCTGCTCCTTCCCCAGCCATGTCCTCTTTCCACGCCCCCCCCCTTCCCACTTTGCTCCCCGCTTCACTTAGCCACAGCCCCTCCTGGTTCCTCTCCAGCCATGCCAACCTCTCCCCCTGCCTCTTCCTCAGATGCCAGGGACGTGGGGGGGGGGAAGGGGTTGGAAAATGGTCCTTTCTGCTCCTGTGTGGTCCCATGTAAAGGGCCTCCCAATTTGACAGGTGTGGTGTCTTCACCCCATGAGTGTTGTCCCCACATGGCTCTTGGGGAGGAGGGCTGTGGCCAGGGGACATCCCAGTGACCTCCCACCCTGCCGCACAGCCGAAGGTCATTGCACTCCTAGGCCTTTCCCCGCACTGCACGTGGAGCAGGCAACACTGAAGTGCAGCGGTGGCTTTGGGGGGGCAGGGTCCCCTCTCAGGGGGGCGGGGGTGCTGTGGTTGATCCTTCCTCCCCCCGCACAGCTGACCGTGCACCCTTGTGTCTGCCTCTAGCATCACCAGGAGAAGACCTCCTCACCGGTGCCCAGCATGCCCGCCCGCTCCGCCACCGCGCTCGCTTACCCTGAGCTCTACCCCAACCCCATCAAGAGCAAGGTTTTGAAGACCGAGAAGGAGAGAGCATCACCCACCTTCTCCTTGGGTGGTAAATACCCTTCTGGGGGACCAAGGAAGGGAGGGAGGCTGGAGGCAGCTGGCTTTTTGGGAAGGGGGCAGGGGTGGGGCGCTTGGTTCTCACAGAGCCCCTTTCACGAGAGCACAACGTGCCGCCTGTGTTCGCCCACCAGGCGAGGCAAAACGGGGGGCATCGTTGCCTGGGGCTGTGCCCAGAACAGTGTTGCTGGGGCAGCTCCGCTCCCCTCTCTTCTAAAGCGAACCAGATCTTGGGGCCTCAAACCTCATGACAGCCCCTGCCTGAGTGGAGGTAGCAGGCACCCAGCCTTGCTTCCTCGTGCCTCCTGCCCCACGGATGTGTGCAAAGCCACCCCGGGCCATGCCACCCCATCTGCCCATGCTGGTCACCATCTGGAGCCGTCCTCCTCTCTCCTTGCTCCGACTCCGGCTGTCCCCAGGTGCTTTAATGGACCAGGCTGCGAAGTCTGGCAGGTGGCTCCAGCCTCCCACGGTAGCCAGAACCCCACAGCCAGGCATCACCTCGGGTCTGGGCCTTGGCATGGCCTCTGGGCTGGGGTTGTCTGCCTTGGGCTCAGGCAGGAGATTGTCAGGAGCTCTAGTTTACAGCTGGCTGCCCAGTAGGGCCTGTCCCCCCAGTCCGAATCCCTGTGCGGGTAGCGAGTCTCTGCCTGCAGTGGGTAGGTTTGAGCAACATGCAGAGGTCCTGGCTGAGACTTGTAGCCCTGCTGTGCTGTCGAGAGGACTCAGCCCTTTGACCCCTCGGTCAGCCCTGGAGGATCTCCTCTACCCACACCTTGCAAGGCAAAACCTCTGCCAGAGCGAGAACAAGTAAACAGTGGGAGGGGAAACTGAGGCACAAAAAGGGAAAGAGACTTGCTATTGGTAGCAGCAAATCAGTGGTGGATGTAGGACTTGGATCTCCAGTTGCCTGACTTTCAGTCCAGTGCTCTAAGTACTAAGCTGAGCTGCCTCCCAGTGCTACTTTCTCGTAAGCCCCTGGAGGTTTAAGATGAGTTCAGATGGGCACTGGATTCTCTGTACGACGACAACAAGAGATGGAAAAATGGGAGCAGTGGAAACAGTGCGCCGTGGACCAAATAAAAAATCCAGCGCCACCCACCCCACATGGATACAGGTGCCCGAGTTGCAACAGAGTCTGTCAATCCTGGATTGTCCTGGTTGGCCATCTTCAGAGCCCCAGATAAGACAGTCATCCTCGACTGCAGGGGGATTGCCAAAGAAGGATTCTCTGCAGCTGTCTCTAAAAAATAATAGAGACCTTGGGCTGTTGTTTTTTTAACCTGCAATGAGAGGGGAGTGGACATCACTGTAGGCAGTGCTAAAGTGATTAAGAGCCTGCTCCGAGGCATTTACACTGAGGCTTCGGGTCCCCTCCAGTTTGACTGCCCGTGTGTCTCCTCTGTGCCCTTGTGCTACATAAGCTGAACAGTAGCTGGGTCTTTGGGCAAGCCAAGCCAAGCCAAGCCCTGTCTGGGAACATGCTGCTACCCCAGGCTGGGATATGAAATCCATCCCTGCTTTGTTGAACTCCACGCACCCCCCATGGCCTCATCCCAGGGTGACAGACTTGCCCCCCTAGCACTGGTGCCGGTGTGTGTGTATTCACCCTCGTCATCACAGCCTCTCCCCGTCAGGGTGCAGCGACCCGGCCCTCTTGGGCAGCCAGGCACAGCCAACGGCAAGCGGAGGCAGCGGGGCTCAAGCGCAGGAACTGCGGCTCCCCAAGCGCAGACCTCTCCCAGGTAAGGTCCCTGGAGCCCCTTCTGGCAGCCTTGCTCCCAGCAGGTTGGCGCCGTGATCCTAGCAAGGCCAGGCAGGGTACACTCGGGTTTTGGGTGGGCAGACTGTGGGCCAGCTTGAACTTGGGACCCTCACGGGTCTGGCGTGGGCTCCCTTTCAACCACAGATGGTGACTGCAGCGGCAAGACAGTAGCCTGGGAAAGAGGGAAGGGTTAGGGGAGTTGGTGAGATGCAGAGGGAAAGCTGTGCCTGCCTGGTGCCGGGGGGGAAACTGGGCCGTGGCAAGAAAGAAGCAGAGGTTAAAAGAAAAAAGAGGCGAAGGAGTGAAATGGATGTGGTGGGATATTTCTAAAGGAGAAATGAGGTACCAGTGTGATCAGAGCCCCTGGTACAGACAGGGAGCATCTGCCTTCTGACTGCTCACCAAGCCGTGTGACGTGAGGATGCTGGGTCTCAGCTGTGGAGCTGATGATGTCTTTTCCAAGGGGCCATCTCCAAAGAGGGAGAACAGGCCATGGGGAAGTCTCTAAGCCAGGTTGGAGGTGCACTTCAGGGGCCAGGAAGGTGCTGCCACTTTCCATACCCATTTACTGGGCAAACCACATCTGCAGGAGCTCTAGCTCCCAGCCGTGGGTCCTGTGAGGACTGGTTGGCTGTGCTTGTGGGGCAGGGGTGGTCTCTAGATTGGGTGTGACAGCCCAGGTCAGCTTCAGTACATCAGTGCCAGCAGAAGAGGACCTGCCTGGGGAAAAGCAGTTCCCCAGCAGGGCTACATGGAAGCCCCTACTTTCAGTCAGTCGGAGGTGGTGAAAGCCAGGAAGCTGTCAGAGCCAGGGACAGTAATGACTCCAGGGGCTGTCTTCTTCCAGGGAAGCACTACCAGTGCTCAAGCTACGGCTGCAAGCTGGCCTTCCACAGCATGCAGGAGCTGATGGACCACTTGAAAGTGCACTACCGACCCACGCAGTCACTGGAGGGTAAGGCGGGGGGCACATCCTGATGAGGGGCACTGCTGCTGAGATGAGGCACGTCGGGACAGCGCGTGCAAGGGGAGCGTGGCAGTTGCCATAGGGGCAGAGGATTCCACTTAAGGAGGCCTCGTTCACCCCTTCCTGGTGCTTTGGCTCAGCAGATGGGCGCTAGTGGGTTGTCGTATCATTGCAGTGTTCATTCAGTGAATAAATTGTGGCCCACGGGGTGCTTACAAATAACCTGCTGTGAGCGCTTGTCCAAGGTGTGAATGGTCACTGAAGTCCCCTGGCGTTTCTAGCAGTGCACAGGTGGTCATGGCTCTTGTACCGGGAGCGCACAGACTGCCATGCCAAGGGCCAGTCTTCCAAGTGTTCAGCAGTCATGGTTGGGGCATAGAAGATGCTGTTCGCTCTGGGAAATCTGGACCTTGCTTCTTATGCCATCATGTGTCAACATGACACCCACATGCATATGCATTGCACTGTTTTCCTGGCTCTGCCTATGGGCTAGATGAACTCTTCATCTTGTGTCTTAAAAGAGGAGACTGATTTATTAACACCCAAGTTCTCCCCTCCCTGCTGTGCCCTGAGCATCTTCTTTTATTGGTAGGTCTCTGCCAAACTTATCACCCGCTTCAGTAAGTGATCAGTAGCTCTTCTGTTCTTAGACCAGTGCAGTGCATGCCGTGGGTGGGGAGAAGTGTATGAGGTGAACGTACAGGTGGTCCTCGGTCTCCTGCTGGACTCTGTAACCATTGAGTCACTGGTTTATGGAGGTCCCCTGGGTACAGGGGGAGGCTGCCATGGCTGGCGCTATGCTGGCCATGGGTGCTGCTGCAACGGCTAGGACACTGCCGACCTCTGTGCCCCTCTTGTAGGGAAAACCTTCCGCTGTCCGACTCCGGGCTGCACGGAGACCTTCCCCAGCATGCAGGACCTCATGACCCACATGAAGGTGCACTACAAGCCAAACCGCTACTTCAAGTAAGTCCCCTTCATTGCACTGCAGGCACGAGACTCCTGCCTTTCTCCACCTGCTTCTTCCTTTGCTCACGCCTTGCCTGGGCGGGATTGTGTCCCGCGGTCTGTTGCCCGGTGGCTGTTCTGCCTCCTCTCCAACATCCCCATGCAATGTGCTCTCGCCATTCAGCCTGGGAGATGGCATAAGAGCCAGTGTCCCTTCCCTTTGGACCCCCAAGCGTTCTGCAGCCCCGGGCCTCATGCCGTGGGGTCACAGGGGCTAATCCCCGCCCCCCACATTAGCTTTGCCCCCCTTGGTTGTGTGTACAGGAAGGCCTTTCTGCCTGTGGCCCGCTCGGCATTTGGCCTCTTCGGGCCTGGCGGCAGGGGCCAATGCCGGGGGCGGCTTCCATGCTTGATGGGCCATTGCCAACTCTCTCTTCTTCCAGGTGTGAGAACTGCATGCTGCGCTTCCGAACGCACCGCTCCCTCTTCAAGCACCTGCACGTCTGCTCCGACAGCTCCAGCACTTCGTCTCCGGCTCCAAAAGCCGAGAAGCCCATCCTACCTGCTACCTCTGGCCTGGAGAAGGACCCCCTGGCCAAGCCGCTGGAGGGGCTGCCCAAGCTCCAGGGTGTCATCCGGCACATGGAGAAAGAAGCCATTCTCCCTAGCATGGACACGGTCTCTGCCACGGCGCCAGCCTCCCTCCCCGCCAGCCTCTCTGGTCTGCATGGCTCCCTGGAGTCCATGCCCCTGGTCTCCCCGACCTCCCACCCCTTCCCTCTGCTGGAGCCCTCACTCTTCGGGGCACCCTCCTTGACTCGGTTCTCAGGCCCGCCCCATTCCTCGGTGCCGGGGCCTTTCCTGTCCTATATGCCCCCCTCGCCCTACAGCTTACCTCAGGCTTCAGTCCAGCATCGTCTCAGGCCATATCTGCCCAGCCAAGGTCTTCCCGTCTCCAATGCCGTGTGGAAGAAGAGTCAAGGTGAGACAGCAGGGCCGTTCGGTACAGCTAGAGCCTTCTGCTGGGGCTTGCCCATGGCACAACGTGGCTCCCTTGGGGCTCGGCTAGCAGCTTCTGCTCAAGACCCGCTGGCCCAGGATATTACTGGGCCCTTTTCCTCCAGGAAGGATCTGGCACCCCTCAGCTCCCTCTCTGCCTTCTGGGCTTGGCCTGGTGTGTCTGGGTGGCCGTTTCTCTTCCCCCTCTCCCCCCATGCCCAGACTCTCACCCCAACTAGCAAGCGGCTCCTTGGGAAGATGTTAAATCAAGTCCCACCTCTCTGCTTGGAGATCACAGCCTGGGGTCGCGGGAGGATCCTAGTCCAGCCTCTCCCAACCACTGGAGCTGTCGCCACCCCAGAGTCCTGTTGATCAGGCAATGTCCGACCTCCATGCCAGGCCTCACCTGCATGAATTGCTGGCATCTCAGCCAGGGCTTTCCCCCCACCCCCCACACCCTGCCCTGGGAAGGGAAGGCCTAATGCTCCTCTTGCCCCCCAGTTCCCTTCGCAGATGTGAGTGTCAGCCCCCTCCTCCCAGGCTTCGGCTGGGGAGTGACTCCAGGTTAGTCCGGCGTGGGGCTGCTTTCTGGCCACGAGAGGGAAGTTCAGCCTCGCGGGGTGGATGCTGCCGTGCAGAAGTGGGAGGGGAGGCGGTGCCCTGGCTGGAGGCTGAAGGAAGACGATGTGACGAGGGGCTGGGGGACCTTGCGAACTGGTTGAGGAGTTCCCGGAGCTTCCCTAGGGGGTGAAACGGCAACGCATGGGGCTGGAGGCTTGCTCATACTCTGCTGCTTGTGGTTGCTGGGTATCGCGGGCCCTGGTCTCATCGCAGCTTGTAAGCTCAGGTGTGCTCAGGAACTGGACATAAGGGGCACAGCCCAACAATCATACCTTATGGCCACTCGTGGAGGGAGGGCGCTGCAAGCTGGGAGGCCGGGGGCTTCCGGCAGGTCTCTAGTCCAGGACCAAGTGGGTCGTGGCTGGGGGTGGTCACTGCAGTGGTACCCATTTGATACCGGGGCCTGTTTTGGTACTAGGTGGGGGCTGGCTCTGTCCTCTCCAGCTTGCCCCTGTGTGCAGCTGTCTGCATCCTGCCTCTGTGTGGAGCCAGAACCTGGGTTCCCTGCAGCTCAGCGTGGGGCTCTGGCCCTGGGGCGGGTGAATGACAGCAAACACCATGGCCAGACAAATTCCCCTTGAACTGAAGTGTCCTGGGCCCCTCCTTTTCTTGCCAGAGGTAGCACCCAGACACCAGGCCCCAGCAGGAGGCAGCCCCTTGCCCAAGGAGCCTCAGTCTTACTTTGGTTCTCACTTGGGCTGTTATGGCACCCTGGGGTACCATGAGATGCTTTCGGGGATGCCACACTTGCTCTTCCCCACCTGGGCCCTCTTGCAAGGAGGTAAGTGCAGGCTCTATGCAGGGTAAGCTCCTGCTTCTCCCTGCTAGCCCTTGTGCAAGCAGCTAAGTGCTTGAATCTCCCCCCAGCACCCTTGGCCCTGCCCCTGCACCAGGAGGTATGTGCTGTGCCAGGAGTAAACACCTGCGGTATTGAAATGGGGTGTCACAGAAGGATACCGGGGGCCTCGGGAGTTTGAGACCCACCGGTCTAACGAGACGAGGCAGACACAGGGTGGCATGGTGCAGGGTGTTGGTGGCAAAGCTGGAAACAGAACGCAGGCATCCTTAGCTCCCGTCGGGGGGCCATGCTTCATCCATTGCCCTCTTGATCCCTCACCCCACCCCTTGTGCCATCAGCGTCATGCTGCTCCTTGCGTAGCAGGGGCCATGGCTGAGGGCCATTGCTGACCCAGCGGCAGTTACGGCTTCGCATGCCTGTCCTGGCCGTGGGTCCCGGGGGGCTGCACAAGCTGTGCCCCGTGCCCAGGCGCTGGCGAGTCAGTGCATTGCTTCCTGCCCCCCCCCACCTGTGCTGCAGGCCACTCCTCCAACAGCCGCATCGTGTGGGAGCACACGCGAGGGCGCTACACCTGCATGCAGTGCCCCTACTCCACCGCCTCACGGGAGGAGATGACGCTGCATATCGAGGACCACCGCAAGAACCCACCCCCGCCCAGCCGGCTGGATGGCGAGATGGGTACGTGCCAGTGGGCAGCTGGGGTGTCGTGGGGAGGTGGGCAGCGTACTGTGGCCTGCTGCTGGGGGTGCTGTGGCTCCCATCATGAGTCCAGGGGTGCTGGCCTTCAGCTGCTTGCTCCCAAAGTGGTCACAAGCCTTGGCTGTGGGTGGGCACTGTGCCCCCAGCTGTCCCATACACCCTTCCCCAGCCTTTCGCTGCTGGGCTTTGCCTTCCCAACTGGAGAGGCAGGGAGGAGGGTTGGATTCCTGCAGCATGACCATGTCCAGGGAGAGGAGAGGTGGGTACTGGCACTGAGGATCAGGCTAAGCTGCCGGAGACCTTCCCACGACACTAGCCCCCCTCCACATGTGATCTGCACCATCACCTTCTCCCGCAAGGCTGGGAAAGCTCCCCTTGCCTGGGTGCCTCTCCCTGAGGTCCCCTGTGGGTGCCCAGCAGAGCTTGGGCCATGTACCGTGCACCTGCCAGCCTGGGGCACCGACACTGGCTGGCAGAGTTGACAAGCAAGTGAGGCATTTGGGGTAGCTGCAGCCATGAAGTCTCCGCTGCGGCAGGGCCAGTCTGTGCCCCAGATGGGGCTTTTGCAAAACCCTGGGAGAGGGCTGGGGTGGCAGCACCATCTTAATCCAGGGCAAGCCAGGCTGTCCTGCCCCTGGGAGCTGGGAGACGTGCACCACTTAGAGCAGCCCCTGGGGAGCTGGTGGGTGCTTTGGCACTGACTCTTCTCCACCCCCCGTCTCTTTCTCCTTCAGATTTCGGGGTGGGCCTTGCCTCCTTCCACTCAAAGCTCACGCCGGAGATGGAGAACTCCCTGTACTCACAGCTCTGATCCTTCTGCTCCTGCTTAGTCAAGTGATTTTTTTTTTTCCCCCCCCGCTCCCCAAGGTGGGCAGGGAGCTGTGCACGGGACTCCAACAGGAGCTGGGAGTGGGGGGAACTTAGGCAGGACCCCCCCCCCCCGGG